AATTAGGCTTCCGGCACCACACTCATCAGACAAACCACGGAATTGCTTCCATTTCACGCCTGTCTTCTGTGCGGTCGTGGTATTACTGCGGGCGTGCCGGCCCTGCAGTGCTAAGATGTAAAAGCGGGCACTACCACTACTACTAATTTGTAAAAACATAAGCTAAATCAATTTTTAATTTCGCGCGGAGTCACAGGCGATCGCTAGTTTAATAAACCACATACTTTGCAGTAAAAGTACTTGTAAAAGCTTCTTATTGTAAGTAAAACATTCTTTGAAACTCTTATTTTATTTATGGCAGTACAAAGTAAAATGAGGACTTAAAAATTCCTTTGTTTTGTGAAAACGTTTCACTTGAGTACAAAAATTTAAAGCTGGCATAAACGAACTGCTTCGAAGCTAGATATAGTCGGAGACCTTATTTTAATCGATCCCCTAATTATTAACCACTTCGGTCGGCACAGTAAGTGCTGCTCCATACATCTTTATCAGCCGTCATATCTGTATCTACTTTCTTAAGTATATCCTCTTTCACACAATCCATCCACACTTTCTTCGGTCTTCCTCTACCTTTGTAGCCATCCACATTCAGTCTTAACATATTCTGGTTTATGTCCCCATCGTCTCGCATAACATGTTCATACCACGATCCCCTAATACTATTCCAAAAGGTAAATGCGAAGAAGATTTAACGGTGGAGGAGACTCATCGGAGGAGGAAATATCCTCTTTATGTGCGTCTCCTCCGTCGATTAAGAGTAGGCAACGCATCTGCGATTGCGGATGTCTGGGCAGTGGTCGCTTCGGCATTCTGGCGGATTCAGTTGGTCCCTTGCTCATTTAAAACCTAACAATATTTGTCAGCAAATGGAATAGAAAGATCGTGTATTTTATATAACAGATTGTCTATCTTTGATTGTTAAAAGACAGGATCTGTCAAGCATGAGTTTCTGGTAAACTAAAACGAATAAATATGCTTGTGTGCTCATATCATTGTCATCGTTGAATCACTAAAGTCTTTGGTTTTATTTTGTACTGCGCCTTTTAGTCCGTTTTAATATAATCAAAAGTCTACAACACTTGTCGCCGATTTATTTGAAAGTACGTGTATGTCAGCCTTTATTGTTTTGTTCGAAATAATTATATGGCCATAGAATGAACGGAATTGAATTTTCTTTGATGAACTTTGAGGCTTTCTCGAGTCAATGCAAATTATTTTGTTAAAAAGCGATTTCTTGTGACTTCTATGTAGCTTATTAACTTGACTCAGTATAGTTGTTTTGTGATTGTATGTATGTAAATTCCGTTGCAACATCCTACAGCTTACACTCATCATCATCATCTCCTTATCCTACTCCCGTAGCGGCGAAACAGGTTTTGTCCTCCACATAACTCTATCATCCGTCATCTCAGTCATCACTCCCTTTTTGATCGTGTCACCTTTCACGCAATCCATCTCTTTCTATGTCTACCTCTACCGGTGTACTCATAACTAACGTCCTCTTTGTTACATGATTCATCCCTCCTTATAACATGGTCCCATGCTAACCTTTTACTCCTTACCTTCTCTACCGCGGGGGCTTCTCTCAAACTTCCTCTAATACTCATTTCGTATCTTATCCATTATCCTATAGTACTACTGAATCGATTTTGACGGATGAGGTATCATTAGATTCATTATCCTCAGAGTGTCATAGAGTATATTACATCGACATAACATATGGTAGACGTGAGAAGTGAAATTCTAAAAAACTTGAAAGAGACTTGAACTCATTAAACCTTATTCGCAAGAATGTATTTCATTGCTAAATCTTATTTTCGAGTATATTCTCCAAGAAAGTGTTATATCATTACGAGTTATTTAGTCCAATGATTTAAAGTCGCTGTTTTAAAACACAGATAATAGATGGCGCTTTTTACATTATCCTGAGTCAATTGAGTTATTTTTTAAATTAATGTTATTGTTTTCTTTAGCTGTTTGTTTTTTTAATTAGCAAAATGTTTAATTTTGTCCTATTTTTACGTATTACTTGATATTTATTTACTCTCAATTAAGTTGATTACATTTTACTTGTCCCAAGTGGGTAAGTATTCACTATACTTGATAGCAATTAACAAATTAATTCACTAAAAGATATTTTATGGTTCTGTACATTTTTCATTCAAGAAACCTTTTTATACACAACTAACTTTCGCCCGCGACTCCGTTCGCGTGGAATTATAAACAAAAGTGAGTACTCATTTTTTCCTTCAGACTATCCTCTACAGCTATACCAATCCAAATCCGGCTGACGTTTAGGCTACAAACTAACAAACATCCATCCATCTAAACTTTCGGATTTATAATATTAATACTAGCTTTTGCCCGCGACTCCGTTCGTGGAATTAAAAAAAACAAAAGCGAGTAGCCTATGTGTTCTTCCAGAATATCCTCTACATCTATACCAAATTTCATCGAATTCCGTTCAGCCGTTTAGGCTACAAACTCTAACAAACATCCATCCATCCATCTAAACTTTCGCATTTATAATATTAGTAATAATAATAATAATAATAAAAATAATAGTCTGAAAGAACACATAGGCTCCTTACTTTTTAATTGTACGCGGACTGAGTCGCGGCCGATAGCTAGTGACCTATAAAGTCATTCCTGAATATGAAAACGTAAATTTTACCCGCCACTTTGCGAAATTATAAATTTAAAATTCTTTAAAGACGAAGTTGCGGGCGAGAGATGTTTATAGGCATTTTTACGCACAATTTTATTATCAAACAAAAATATTCATCTTTGAAAACATTTGAAATATAAAACCACAGCCAAAAGAATGTTTTAAGAAGCCTTGTTATGAAAAAGTTTGTTAAACTTTCAGCAAGCCGCTGCCGGCAGTAATGGCCGCGGATTGTTTTAAATCATAACATTTATGTTTCTAGACAAAGTCGTGTTTGTTATAAGAAAAAGTAACAAATACGATCATATCTACAAACATTAATTTCCGATTAAAACCTGTCCATTTATACAGATCTGTGACTTTTATAGCTCGTTCACAATATAAATAAACTATTTTATTAAGTCAGACTTTTTTTATATCACTAGTTGTTGCTCTCGACTTCGTTCGAATGGAATTAAAAAATATAGCCTATGTTACTCAGTGATAACGTGACTTTTTAATGGTTAAAGAATTTTTAAAATATGCAAAGTAGTTTTTGAGTTATTTCAATACATAACTATAACAGTGGTAGAGCCCGCTTTAACATCTTCGTACGAATGGGCCGGCTCGCCCAGTGTGACCACGACCACACAGGAGACAGGCGTGAAGTGGAAGCAATTCCGCGTTTCGTCTGATGAGTGTGGTGACGGAGGCCAAATTTTAGTCCCTTTCCCTTTACACCCTTTTTTTAAGAGGAAAGGATGGGAAGGAAAGGACGCATAGGAAGGGGCAATAACCTCGTTATTTGCGTCTCCTCTACCGTCAATTAAGGGTTGACAACGCATCTGCAATTGCGGATGTTTATGTGCAGCGGTCGCTTTCCATTTCGGTGGATTCAGTGGCCGCTTGCTCGTTTACCACTTTATGTTATAAAAAAAAACTGTCGCTCAACTGTTCAGTCTTGCTTTGATTCCTATGAGCTTGTATGGAGGTACACAACTCGTTAGTTGCAACTAAACAGTTGAATTGCTAAACAATCGACTATTACAACAGTTTGCAGCCGCTCTTAATTCACAAAAAAATGTTATTCTTTTGTCAGTCGAGGTAAGCGTAACTGACAACCAGTTAAATCTTACTAGTATTATAAATGCGAAAGTTTAGATGGATGGATGTTTGTTTGTTAGCGTTTGTAGCCTAAACAGCTGAACGGATCTCCATGAAATTTGGCACAGGTTTAGAGCATAGTCTGGAAGAACACATAGGATACTTTTTATACCGGGAATAGTTACGGTTCCCGTAGGATTCATTAATTTAGTTTTTTAATGTTTACATGATCATTCTGCAATGGCTCAACATATCTTATTGAAATTTGGCACAGATATAAAACAAAGTCTGGAGTACACATGGGATAAGCTTCATCTCCGAGACATGTCCGGTTCCCGAGGGATACGTAGCTTTTTGTCATTTATATAGTTCGTATGTTTTCTAATACCACGCGGACGAAGTCGCAGGCAACAGCTCGTGATCAATAATAATAAAAGATTTACCGCCGTTTCTAACCTAATTACATTTGACAGGTCACTGGCCGAAAGCGTTTAAATTTTTTATCGAAATCGATCCGATCCAATTTTGTTCGGAACCATTTTTGACGGAGGTTGCTTAAGTAATTCGTTCACAAGGGAACGTAGATCTTCTAAAATATATAGCTGTTGCTCGCGACTTCGTCCGCGTGAAATTGTAAAATACCTATGTTACTCGATAACGTAGCTTTCTAAATATAAAAGAATTTTTGAAATCGGCCCAGTAGTTTTTGAGTTATTCCAATACATACAAAAATACAAATCTTTTTTTAATGTTAGTATGGACTAGTTATCTTCCGACTCTGTCCGGAATTAGAAAATATATTTAATTTGCCTATGTGTTCCTCCAGACTATATCTATGTCAAATTTCATAGAGATCCGTTCAGCATTTAAACTGCAAACTCTAACAAACATCCATAAACTTTCACATTTATTATATTAGTAAGATATACTCGTTTAAGACCGCAAAATAAATAAATCTCCCTTAAACGACTGCGGACTGTAATTTCCGTTCCGAGATATTCCCTACGTTAAAATTTCCTTTCACTAATTGCGGCCAAAATGTTTTAAAACGAAAACGAAAACACAAATAAAAGGTAAAAAGACTTCTGTCTAAATAAGAGCTCGCTTTTGATTGAACTATTGCTAAGGTTTGTTATGTCATGTCATTTTGACATTTGCTATTGATAATTTGACAAATGTTAACAATAAAATAAAATTTACATAATTTTATGCGGAAGAAGCCGCACGGGAACAGCTATTACTGACTAATTTAAAATAGTCACATATTTCTACTACAAGCAATACTAAAACTCTCAAAGCGTAACCTTGGTCTAGATTTAAGACAAAGCGTTGAAAGCACCAAAACGTAGGCCGACTGCCACCCCTAGGGTGGTGTAAACAACCTCCACCCAGTTGGACGCAGCCTGATACAGCCACGTTATTTGTAAGCATAAAAAAATCTTGAAGTAATTTAACAATTGTTATGCCAAAGTTTAGATGGATGGATGTTTGTAACCTAAACGGCTGAACAGATTTCGTTGAAATTTGGTATAGATGTAAAAGATAGTCTGGAAGAACACATAGGCTACTCACTTTATTTTTTTAATTCCACGCGGACGGAGTCGCAGGCGAAAGCTAGTTTAACATAAATACATATAAAAGTTGCTTTTAATTGTCTGTCAATGTATGCATCTTTAAAATAAGGCAACGGATTTCGATATTTTTGACAGACTAAAAGGAGGTACTCAATTCGTCTGTATGTTTTTATGTGTGTTACGGTATAGCTCTGCCACTAGTGGACCGATTTTGAAAATTCTTTTTTTATCCGAAAGGTAGTGCTTGCAAGCGGGTCCTATTGTTTAATTATTGGAGACTACGGCGTAGTTAAATAGTTTTAAATAGTGATTCAAGAGGAAGGTTTAAACAATACATTATCTATATTTATACTATTATAATAAAGCGTAAACACACACTTATTTGTTGCCTAAGATGTCAACAATCACAGCATATTTTTGAATAATTCTTTCTTTAATAAAAAGGCCTACACTTACGCCACGCTTTAGGCTATATATTTTCACGACATTAAACTTAGGGGGTAAATATTTTGGATAAAAAACCTAATGTGGGAAAGAGACCATAAGTTGCTGCTAACATCAAGAAAACAAGGTTGCCATGCTTTGTCATCGTGTCATGTCATTTTAACATTTGCAATTGATAATTTGACAAATGTAAACGATAAAATAACATTTTCACAATTTTATGCGGATGAAGTCGCACGGGAACAACTAGTCTATACTATTGTTATTATTAGGAGGGTTTTGTATTTGTGTATGTATTCGATTCCCGTAAAAACTACTGCTCCGATTTTAAACATTCTTTCACCATTAGAAAGGTAATTGATCTGTGAGTAACATAGGCTATATTTTTTTTAATTTCACGCATTGAAGTCACAAGGTGCAGCTTGTAATATTATAAATGCGAAAGTTTAGATGGTTGTCAGAGTTTGTAACCTAAACTAGTGAACAGATCTGGATGTTTGTCATAAATGTTGAACTTAGACTGGAAGAATCCCTAGACTACTAATTTTGTTTTTTTTAATTCTACGCGTACGAAGCCACGGGAAATATCTAGTGTATGATATAGAAGATAAATGATTTAATAAAACATGAAAAAAAAGTACAAAATTGTTACTTATATCGTTTACATAGGAGCCATCGATTTTGAGTAACTCCAGCGTGTAAATCGCTCTATTAACAATAAGGGCGTTATAGGGCGTGGGATGATCGCCCAGGGCGGATATAAGAGGCTGGTTTGTGTTTGTATTGCAGTCAAAGGGCATTGTAGATATCGCCCAGGGCGCTGGTAGTTCTACAAGGTTGTTTCTACCTATTGAATTTTATTTGCGATCAAATTAGTAAATTCATTTCTCCTAAAGGCTTTTGTTCATTGGTTGAAGACACTTGAGATTAAACAAAGCTCTTTGAATAATTTCGCCACAGGCTAAATAGTGATGTGAAATAATGTATTTTTTTTAATAATTAAAAATATTTATTAGATCAAAATCAAACCACTGAGCGTCGGTGGCTCAGTGGTTTGAATACTTGACTTGTAATCTACAGGCCTTGGGTTCGAATCCCGCTGTACCAATGTGATTTTCGAATTTTCATATGTACATAATTTACCCGACGTTCTTACGGTAAAGGAAAACATCGTGATGCCTGCACATATCGGCAAAGATATGTGTGAAGTCAACCAACCCGCAGTGCAGTGTGGTTGACTATGGCCTAGTCACCCCTTATTAGGGTAGGCTCCGAGCCCCTCGGTGGGGACGTGTAGTGAGCTGGTGATGATGATGATTAGATCAAAAATGATTTTAGTACTGAAGTAGAATATCTTCTAGGCATTTCTATCTTCTTTTTTCAACTAGTTTGAAATATAGCAGTACTCGTTTTAAATCAATAAAATTGCTATTCCAATTCGACAGGTGAAACGAAAGAAAACAATTGCTATTTTATTTTATCAGGCGTTTGAAAAAATAAAATTCGAACATCACTAAACGCCCCAAACGCCCGCAGGCATAGAGTAACATAACAATATTCCTGAGTATACCGAGTATTTGATATTATTTTTACAAGCCTATTTACTGAAATAACGCGCTTTTATTTAACTGACACATGAAATTACAATCCAACTTGTTACGAGTTAAGAAAATGTCCACATTTATACTTATAATAAAATTGGAGTGTCTATTTGTAATGTCAAATGAAATGTCAAAAAATCCGGATTTCGGGATGATGATGTACTCGCGTTGCTGATAAGGAAAATGACATTTTTTTTTGTTTTTCTGTCTGTCTGTCCGCAAGCCGCGTTTGTTCCGGGTAATCTCCGAAACGGCTGGGCCGATTTCGACCGAACTTTCACTGAACTGTAGCTGACATAGACGGGCATATTATAAGCTATTTTTTTAATTCCGCGCTGTCAAAGTGGCAACCGGACCGCTATCTCTGGAACGGGTGGACCGATTTGGACGGCATTTTGATTGGAAGGTAGCTAGTAAAAAGTAGATGCACGCGGGAGTGTTATAGCCAACCATTTTTTTAAATTCAAAGCTAACGAAGTTTGCCGGCGTTAGCTCGTTATAAATAATTTTATTTCACATTAAAATTCAACGCGAGTCTTCCTAATCAATAAGCTATCTCGTTTCAGAACACGAAAGAACGAGATAGTTTAAAGTTAGACAACGTGATCTAATTTTATCTAGATACCTTTGTTCTACCACTTTCCTAAGTGGTCTGTTCAGTGGTCCGCAGAAGTCTTAATATGGTCCCCAAAATAACCAGCATTGAGTGAAAAGAGAACTTTAAAGGGCGCACATTTTCGACTCAACTATCGCCCAACTGTTCCGCGTTTGTCGATTGTTTCGCAACCAACTAAGTTGTACTTAAAATCGAGTAGTGTGCTCATCTCATAGTTCATAGGAATCAAAGCGTGGCTAACAGTTGTGTAATAGATATGCGCGATAGAAATCATTAACGAGGATTTAAAAGCGTAAACGAGAAGACAACTGTCTACTATAAAAGTTCTAACGATTGTTGAAACTCGTCGTAAAACTTTTACGACAGAGGGCGTTAACTCTGGTCTTTATGATGTTGATTAGAACGTTACGAACTGGATGAAAATCATACTAATATTATAAATGCGAAAGTTACGATGAATGGATGGATGTTTGTTAGCGTTTGTAGTCTAAACGGCTGAACGGATCTCCATGAAATTTGGCACAGGTTTAGAGCATAGTCTGGAAGAACACTTAGGCTACTTTTTATCCCGGGAATAGTTACGGTTTCCGTGGAATTCATTAATGTAGTTTTTTAATGTTTACTCGATCATTTTGCAACGGTTCAACATATCTTATTGAAATTTGGCACAGATATAAAACAAAGTCTGGAGTACATATGGGATAAGCTTCATCCCCGAGATGTCCGGTTCTCGGGATACGTGGCTTTTTGTTATTTATATAATTCGTATGTTTTCTATTACCACGCGGACGAAGTCGCGGGCAACAGCTAGTAATATTATAAATGTGAAAGTTTAGATGGATGGATGGATGTTTGTTAGAGTTTGTAGTTTAAACGGCTGAATGGTTTTTTTAATTCCATGCAGAGTCGCGAAAGCTAGTCATAACTATAGTTGTCCTTACATAAGATACTTCCTTAAATGTGATAAGAAATTTGTTTAAGGTGTGGTCTAAGTTTCAACTGAGTTACTTAGTAAATTCGAACCGAAAACACTAACGAAATTAATCGGTAAAAAACCGGCCATAAGTTACGTTTCAGTATTCCGTCACGTTTGGCAAAAAACAAAATCAAAGATTAACATTTCAATAGAATTGCAATTGTTTTTTTTTATGACATGAGACCTTGTCAGCTATTTAAATACGGCACGTGTTTTAGAATAATAGGAAATGCAAATCAACGTGTTTTACTTTTTATGCATATTAAAAGGTTTTTTTTACATCTAATGTAAATTTCACAGAAGACGGTAAGAGCGTCGGTGGCTCAGAGGTTAAGCATTTGACTTGTAATCTACAGCTCCTAAGTTCGAATACCGACATCATCCGTTTTCTAGCAAGTAATAGGGTGGGAAAGTGGATATGATGGTAGACGCATAGGAAGTGGATTCTCTTTATGTGCGGTCCTGTCGGTACCTGCAATTGCGGATGTTTATGGGCAAGCAATCAAGAGTATCGGTGGCTCAGTGATTTAAGCACTTGACTTTGTAATCTGTAGGATCTGTAGATCCTGGGTTGTAATCCTGCCGTACCAATGTAATTTTTTATTTTCTAATTTCATATGTACATAATTTACCCGACGTTCTTACGGTGAAGGACCAACCAACCCGCACTGGGCAAGAGTGGCTGACTAAGACGTAGTGACCGCTTACTTTAAGGGTAGGTAAGCACCGCAGTGGGGACGTATAGTGAGCTGGTGATAATGGACAGCGATCACTTCACCATTTTAGCGTATATAGGTGGTCCGTTTGCGTTTGCCGCCTTGTAATATAAAATTATCTAGCTGTTCCCGTGCGACTTCATCCGCACGATTTTATTTTTTACATTTGACAAATTATCAATTACAAATGTCAAAATGACATGATGACAACCTTGCTTCATTGTTGGCAGCAACTTATGGTCTCTTTCCCACATTAGGGTTTTTATCCAAAATATTTGCCGCCTTAGTTAATGGCGTGAAAATGTATAGCCTAAAGCGTGATGTAAGTGTAGGGCTTTTTATTGAAAAAAGAATTATTCAAATATATGCTGTAATTGCTGACATCTTAGGCAACAAAGTGTGTGTTTACGCTTTATTATAATAGTATAGATAATATATCCTATGCCACCTAGCCTTCGTCATTATAAAAAATGGTGGATCGACTTGAGTTAGTTCT